CCTTATCTCTTACTGCTTCTAGGATTCTCTCCTTCATTTTAATCTTGGCTAATGTAATGATGATGTGCCTTGGTGTGTTCCTTCTTGGGTCCAAGTTCTTTGGGACTCTCTGAGCTTCTTGGACTTCCTGGAAGTCTGTTTCCTTTGCCAGATTGGGGAAGTTCTCCTTTATTATTTGTTCAAATAAGGTTTCCAGTTGTTGCTCTTCTTGTTCCCCTTCTGGTACCCCTGTACTTTGGATGTTGGAACGTTTCAAGGTGTCCTGGAAGTTCCTAACTAAGCCTCTCCTCATTTTTTTGAATTGTTGCTTCTTCACTCTTTTCTGTTTAGTTGTTTTTTTTCTTCCTTCTGGCCCACTCCCTTCATTTGAGTCCCAGTTCCCTTCCCATCACTATTGTTTCCCTATGCATTTTGCTTCATTTCACTTAGTGAAGCCTTCATATGTTCCTCTAATTTGTGACTAAAATCAACCAGTTCTGTGAGCATCCTGACCACCAGTGTTTTAAACTGTGCATCCAATAGGTTGGCTATCTCTTCGTCGCTTACAAGTATTGGCTCTGGGACTTTGAGCTGTTCTTCTTCTTGAGCCATAATGTTTTGGTCTGTTTGCGCTTGTTACATATGAGGGGTGGAGCCTTAGGTGTTCACCAGGGCGGGGTCACCCAGGTCACTGGGTTGTGATGCTGTATGTGGGGGTGGGGTCAGAGAGGGGCAATGGCATTTGTTCTGCTCTCTCTCGGATTTTGGTCCCCTCTGCTGCTTCCCACCAACAAATTGGGCCCTTCTGGTGCTAGTTCCCAGGTGTGTGGGCCTGTGCACCCTCCAGGACCCTGTGGGTCTCTCCAAGGAACTCTCTGTGAGCCTTGGAGCCTCTCCTGGCACCTCGACCCCCGAAAGTTTTTCCAATTGGTGCTTTTAGGCTTTGTTTCCCAGCGCTGGGGCCCTGTGTCATGCGGTCTGTCTCACTGTTCGGTTTTTCACCTGGTTTATCTGCACATGAATGTGTGACCACGGTCAGCCAGCTGCCTTGTGCGCTCACTGGGTCTGCCCATTACCCATCCCACGCATGGGATCTGCCAACCGCTGCCAGCATGCCTGGGTCGGTCCAGCAGCTTCATCTTGCACAACCCGCTGACTCCGCCCCTCATACCAGTCTGGATGAATGGTTCATTGTTGTCAGACTTCAGTACAGTTTAATTTTCTCTCTGTTTTGGTTACATTCTGGTTTTTAAATATTTGTTGTTCATAAAGTCGGTTGTGCGAGGAGGTACAGTGTTTCCACCTACGCCTCCATCTTGGCCGGAAGTCCCTCTGTTTACTTTCCTTCATTCTTTTTTCTTCTGGTTCCCCAAACTCATTAATTTCAAATGACCTGCCTTCAAGTTTGCCAATTCTTTCCTTTGTCTAATTAAATTTGTGGTGAATATTCCAATAAACTAGTGAATATTCCAATTTAGTGTTTTCGTTTTGTATTTGTTTTTATTTTTTAATTTTTTAAAGATTTTATTTATCTTTAGAGGGGAAGGGAAGGAGAGAGGGAGAGAAACATCAATGTATGGCTGCCTATCATGTATCCCCCACTGGGAACTGGCCTGCAACCCAGGCATGTGCCCTGAATCGGAATCGAACCATGATCCTTTGGTTCACAGGCCCGCATTTAATCCACTGAGCTACACCAGCCAGGGCTGTGTTTTTGTTTTTTTAACTCCTGAATTCCTGTTTGGTTCTTTCTTTAACATATTTATTTCTTTAATGATATTTTATTTTGATTCTAAATCATTTTCCTTATTTTGTTTATTTGTCCTCATGCTCTTTGAGCTCAATAAACATATTTAAAGCAGTTTTAAATGTTTTGTCAAGTAACCCAAAGGCCTTCTACTTTTTAAGGTTTCTGGATATTTGTTTCATTCCTTTGAATGGACTATGTGTCTCTGTTTCTCTGTATGATTCATCATCTTTTCTTGAAATTGGGGCATTTAAAAATTCAATACTTCCCCCCAGTCTTTGAGGACTTGTCTCCATTCAAGGGAAGGTCTATACTAATGAAGTCAGTTTAAAAGTTCAGGATCCATTTAAACCTTTTCTGGACATGTATTTTCTCTGGGCTTGTGCATATGCTTTTAATCCCATTCCCCATATACTCAAGTACTTTTACATGTACTAGTTTTCCAAAGAGCTTCACCACTGCTTCTCATAAGCCTTGGAAGTTCTCTTGTATTCCTCTGTCCATAATCTCTTGCCCCAAGGCACCAAGTGTCGGCACAATCCCTGCACCACTCACCTGCCACTGCTTTGACCATTCCAGTTAGTGATTCATGGCAGGGGAGACATGAATTAATCCTTTGGGCAGCCCATAGACAAGCCAGAACATTGCAAGCAACTTTCAGTTTTTTTCCTTACATCCTGATGGAAGAAGTAGAAACTGAGCACAGTCCTCCCATTTACACTGTGCTGCACTGAGGAGATGGTGGGCAAGGATGAGCAAAAGCACTATGAATTTTTCTAAAATTCTGAGTATAGAGGACTTCCGCCAAGATGGAGACGTAGGTGGAGGAACCACCTTGCCTCTGTGCACAACCAAATCTAAGAACAACTATTTTTAACAACAATCACAACCAAGCCACATGGAAAATTGACAATATGGAGTCCAAAGACAACGAAATGCTCAGCTAAACCCGTAAGAGAAGCGAAGCCAGCAGCGGAGCAGGTTGGCAAGAAAAAACCCCCGAACAGGTGGTGTGCGGTGCGCGAGCAGCCGAAGGCGCTGATCGCGAGCTAGCTATGGGAGCACACAGGGAAGAGGCGCGGCAGGCTGTCTGCGGTCGGTCGGTCGCACATCTGTGTGCGGAGAAACCAGTGAGAAGGGAAGCCTGCGCGGGGCAGCAGGCTCCCACAATTCTGATCGGATAAAAAAGCCTGGGGCGAGTGGTGTGACTGGACGTCCTGGGCTAGCAGAGAGGACCGCCATAGCTCCCTCTCTGACCCCGCCCCCACACACAGCGTCACAAACCAGCGACCTGGGTCGCCCCGTCCTGGTAAACAACTAAGGCTTCGCTCCGCTTACTTAACAGCACGAATAGACCAAAAATGGCTCTAGGACAACTCAGAGCCCCAGAACCAATAGATCTAAGTGATGAAGAAATAGCCAGTCTTTCAGATGCACAGTTCAAAACAGTGGTTATCAGGATTCTTACAGAACTGGTTGATTTTAGTCATAAATTAGAGAACCATATGGAAGCTAAACTAATTGAAATGAATGGTAATACAAAGGAAACCAATAGTAATGGAAAGGAAATTGGGACTCAAATCAAGGGAGTGGACCAGAAGGAAGAAAAAAATGATCAAACAGAAAAGAATGAAGAAATAAGAATTCAGAAAAATGAGGAGAAGCTTAGGAACCTCCAGGACATCTTTAAACGTTCCAACATCTGAATTATAGGGGGTACCAGAAGGGGGAAAGGCACAGCCACCAGTGGAAAACTTATTTGAACAAATAATAAAGGAGAATTTCCCCAATCTGGCAAAGGAAATAGACTTCCAGGAAATCCAGGAAGCTCAGAGAGTACCAAAGAAGTTGGACCCAAGAAGGAACACACCAAGGCACATCATAATTACATTAGCCAAAATTAAAATGAAGGACAGAATCCCAGAAGCAGCAAGAGCTAAGGGGACAGTCACCTACAAAGGAGCTCCCATCAGACTGTCAGCGGATTTCTCGAAAGAGACCTTACAGGCAAGAAGGGGCTGGAAAGAGGTATTCCAAATCATGAAAACCAAAGACCTACAACCAAGATTGCTCTACCCAGCAAAGTTTTCATTTAGAATGGAAGGACAGATAAAGTGCTTCTCAGATAAGACCAAATTCAAGGAGTTCATCATCACCAAGCCCTTATTATATGAAACATTAACGGGACTTACCTAAGAAAAAGAAGATAAAAAAGATGACAGTGAAAGGACAGCAAACTCACAGTTAGTAACAACCACACCTAAAACAAAAGCAAACTAAGAGGACAGCTAGATCAGGAGCAGAACCATAGAAATGAAGATCTCATGGAGGGTTAGCAACAGGGGAGTGGGAGAAGGAGAAGGGGGGGAGAAGGTACAGAAAATAAGTAGCATAGACAGTAGATAGAAAATAGATAGGGGGAGGGTAAGAATAGTAGGGGAAATACAGAATCTAAAGAATTTGAGACACGTGTTCATGAACTAAAGGGGGAAATGGTGGGGGGAGGGGTATGCAGGGTGGAGGGGAATGGAGGGGGGAATAGAGCAAATGTAATGGCATAATCAATAAAAAATAAAAAAATAAAATAAATAAATAAAATTCTGAGTATAGCCCTGGCTGGTGTGGCTCAGTGGATTGAGTGCCTGTGGACCAAAGGGTCACTGGTTCGATTCTTAGTCAGGGCACATGCCTGGGTTGCAGGCCAGGTCCCTGGTGGGTGGGGACACATGAGAGGCAACCACACACTGATGTTTCTCTCTCTCTCTTTCTCCTTCCCTTCCCCTCTCTAAAAATAACATAAGTAAAATGTTTTTTTAAAGTTCTGCTTAGTTTTTAAAAAGAAGCTCAAATTTGCTCACATCCAAAGTGTCTCTTTCAGCAGAATTCTTTCTGCTTTGAACTTTAGTCTTCAGTTAGGAGCGTCTCCAGTCTTTTTTTTTAAGATTTTATTTATTTATCTTTAGAGAGGAAGGGAAGGAGAGGAGAGAAATATCAATGTATGGTTGCCTCTCGTGAGTCCCCTGCTAGGAACTGGCCTGCAACCCAGGCATGTGCCCTGACTGGGAATCGAACCGCAATCATGTGGTTCGCAGGCCTGCACTCAGTCCACTGAGCTACACCAGCCAGGGTATCCAGTCTTTTTAATGTCATTGAAATTACCTTATTTTTCAGATCTGCCCACCTACCAGGGTAATATTTTCTTGACATAAGGAAAGAAATAGTAATCTATTCCTCCGGCTAAACTCATGCACTTTTTTCTTTTTGTTTATTCAAGGTTCTGGTGTGGAATGTATAATCGCTTTGACAAAGGGCTACATCCCCAGCAAAGTATGATAGAGAGCCTCCTGGAAATTGAGAAACAGAAAATGCTGCAGGTAGGTGTCCACAAACAAGAAGTGGTTCTGGAAAAAGTCTCAAAGTGAGCCCCTCTTTCCCATTCTGTGTAGACCCAGCCCACTTGGAGTTGAATTGGTACTTGTGAGAAGGTGCCTGGCTGGCTTGTTATATTTTCTGGCTTCCAGATATCCTGGGTATACAGAGCCTGAGGCACAACTCTTTTTCTTACTCCCCATAGAATGTGGTAGATATCACACTTAGCTAGTGAAACAAGTGGATTGGTTCCCTTTTTGATTTGGATGTAATTACTAGGAGGAACAAGAGGGAACAACAGGGAAGTTGTACTTGGTGTTTGTTATCCATCAAAAGAATGAGTATAACGTATTACATATACTGGTAAGAACAATGAAATTGTTATATTTTAAATTAGGAAAACCTTATAAAAATTCTCGTTTTCTCCCCACATAGATTACACATTGTTCATTGAGTGCTCTCCCTGTGTGTGTTGATTTTGCTCTATAATACCAGCAAAACCCAAATCAGACACTTGTTTTTAATTACAGATTAAATAAGTTAAGATTTTCTTTCAAAATATGAAAAATGCTGAGCTGCTTCTAGAATCTAGTGGTCCTTAACAGTGTGTTTGAGGGAGGGGGAGGAGTACTTCTTAGAAAAGAACTCTTAGAAAGGGAGGGTGTGCTATTTAGGAACCGGGTGTGAACCCACTTTAGGCCAGATTAAGGCATAGCTTTTCTTCTCCCATAAGTAAACAAATACCTTTTATTGGAAAATGAATGTATTGTGATTACATCAGATCTCAATCTTTTGAATGTCCTCTTGGAAAGCAATAGTCAGTTACTTTGTTCCATTTTTTTAAGTTTTTTAAAAGATTTTATTTAGTTATCTTAAGAGGGGAAGGGAAGGAGAGAAGGAGAGAAATATCAATGTATGGTTGTCTCTCGTGAGTCCCCTGCTGGGAACTGGCCTGCAACCCAGGCATGTGCCCTGACCGGGAATCGAACCACGATACTCAGGTTCGCAGGCCTGCACTCAATCCACTGAGCTACTCCAGCCAGGTGTTCCATTTTTTCTTAATAGAGATGCCCTGGCTGGGTGGCTCAGTTGGTTGGAGCATCATCCTATACACCAAATGGCTGCAGGTTCAATCCCTTCCTGGTCAGGGCTCATACCTAGGTTATGGGTTCAATCTCCAGTTAGGGCATATATAGGAGGCAACTGATGAATGTTTCTCTTTCTGTCTGTCTGTCTGTCTCTCTCCCCACTCCCTCTCCCCCTCTCTCCCCCCTGAGAAGCAGGAAAACTTTCCTAGGGTCCCCTGCCTCCTCTTTTAGCTATTAGCAACAGGGCCTCCACAGCAGGCAGGTCACTTCTAGTAGACTAAGCCATCTAACTTACTGCTAACTGATTCCTGAGAGAGAATCAGATTCATTCTAGATAGAATCTGATCATTCTCTGATTATAAAGTAAAAAATTAAGTCAGGCCCTGGCTGGTGTAGCTCAGTGGGTTGAGCGCAGGTCTGCGAACCAGAGGATTGCAGTTCAATTCCCAGTCAGGGCAGATGCCTGGGTTGCAAGCCAGTTCCCTGCAGGCCAGTTCCCAGCAGGGGACGCACTAGAGGCAACCGTACATTGATGATTCTCTCCCTCTCTCCTTCCCCTCTAAAGATAAATAAATAAATAAATAATTTAAAAAATTAAGTCAGGCTTTAAAAAATATATACATAATGGTAAATATCATGTTTTAATTTACAGAAGAAAAGAATGGCCCCTAATATTATTACCCAAAAAACCTGTCAAAATTTTATTTTTTATTTTTTGAAAATTTTTATTTGTTTATTTTTAGAGAGAGGGAGGGAGAGAGAAACAGGGAGAGAAACATCAATGTAAGAGAGAGATATCAGTTGGTTGCCTTTTGAAGGCACCCTGACCCAGGATCGAACCTGCAACCCAGGCATGTGCCCTGACTGGGAACCAAACCAGTGACCTTTCACTTTATAGGACAACACCCAGCCAAGTCAGCCATACTGGTCAGGGCAACCCTGTGGAAATTTTTTAAAGGTAATTGATGTGCAAAGTTAGAATATATAGAATACAAAAGTATACCAAATGAAGAAATGTTTAAAAAACTTCCCCAGCTATCTACCCATTTAGTTTTTCCCTCCAGGGATTATCACTGTGTATGTGTATGCACGAGCAAGATAGAGACAGAGACAGATTGATTGATTGACTGATTTTGTGGTATCTGGAAGAAAATGAATATGCCTGTTCTCTAAGGCAGGAGCTCTTAACTGGAGTCCATGAACCCACAGGTATCCACAGATGTCTTTAGGGCCTCTGTGATGGCCCTGAAATTCTATCTAAAATTTGTGTACATTGCTATCTCATGCTCACATATGTTCGTGCATGCAGTGTTCTGAGAAGGTAGGTCCATTCTTTTCTTCAGATTTTCAAAAGGGTCTATGACTGCCAGAAAGTTAAGTATCGTTGAGTCATTGTGTTGTCCCTGAAAGTGCAAATATTCATTGGAGGTAGCATGAAGTAGCTGACAGGTTATACACAGATTATAGGCTTTGGCATTAAAAAAGAAATAGTCACATCCCAGCCCTACCACTTCCTAAATGTGTGAATTTGGGTGACTCACTTAAATTTCTGAGCCTCAGTTTCCTCATCCGTAAAATACAGCTAATACCTAATTAGTAGGATTCTTATGAGTATAAGAGGAAATCCTTTATGTAAGTTTCCGGCACATAGAGGCATTCAACAAATGTTAGTGAGCCTCCCCCTTGCCCTCTTGTTCCCAGTAATAAAATTGTATTTATTGGAAGAAAAAGACCTTTATACAGACATAAGACCCTTAAGGATCTTTTTCTTTTTAATAATTTATTTATTTATCTGTCTTTAGAGGAGAAGGGAAGGAGAGAGGGAGAGAATTATCAATGTGTGGTTGCCTCTCATGCATCCCCTGCTGGGAACTGGCCTGCAACCCAGGCATGTGCCCTGGCCGGAAATGGAACTGAAGTTGTTTGGTTCTCAGGCCCACGCTCAATCCACTGAGCTACACCAGCCAGGCTTGAGGATCTTTTAATGGTTGGGCTTTTAAAGCACTATGTCAAATGATAAAGAAAAATGATTAAGGGTAAAGTAGGAAGAACATAAGGTCATTTGATACCATATGAGTAATAGTAGGCAGGATCCCTGCAGGTCTGTGTGATATTTTCCTAGTTGTTCTCCTGTTTATAATTCTTTTCAACCATTCCTTGCTCCCATAACAGAAATTGAAAGCTCTCGATGAGCCACCAGAAGAACTCTTTACCAGCTGTCACTTTGGGGATTTATTATCTCAGCATCCGGAAAGTCCCTTGACCAATCCTCTTGATTTTATGGGAGACCTGCATGCTTTGTCCAGGGAAGGAGGCCTCCAAGCTCAGAAGGATCAAGCAAAATGCCAGTGTGGCGACTACCAGTATGAACAATTTGAGATTATAGGCAGCTTTAAGTCCATAAGCATTTCTGAGAATGTGGGCTTCTCTGGAGACCCAGGCATCTCTGAGGCCATGGGTGCCTCTGAGGCCATAGGCATCTCCAAGGCTAGCAGCGAGGAGGCAGGCTGCTCCCAGCAACAGTAAGCTACTTATCTGCTTCTGTGCTGGGCGCACCTGTAGCACCCACAAAAATCCTTGTGCCAAAGAAGGTTATGCTGCTTTTCTAATTGGTTTACATGGGCAGGGTCTGGGCACCCCTCCTCCCACTTAAAAATCTGGAAGGGGATTTTGGGCATTTACTAATTCAGCAACCAATACATGCGTGTCAAGCTGGCCTGGAGTGTAAGCAAGAGAGAATATGTTATTGTTCTAGAATGGGATTTAACCTCAGAGATGTTGAACTGAGATATTACACTGGTTCCATTATTCCATTTTCCTTCCCTACTCCCCCCCCCTCACTGCTGTAGCCTAAGAACAAAGTGGAAATGTCATAGTGGTGAATTAAGATCCTGCTGAGGGAGGAGTTGGAGAGACGGTGTGTTACAGATAACTGACTTACAGAGTGGTTTAAAAGAAAAATTCACTTTTGTGTATGTTTACTCATCAGATGTAAGCTATTGTTATTGCCAATAAAGACCCTGACATTTGTCTGAGAAATAAATCAGAATGTTCCTTAACTGTTAACATGGGTGCATGAGTCCTTGATGATTTAAAACATACAAGGGAATAGTTCTCTTAAATTACACTTGCTTTGCCCAACCCACACCCCAGCTGGGTTTTATAATACTCACTTAGCCAACTCCTTTTTTCATATAGTCCATTGGTAAACGTGAATCAGCTACATTCTAAAAATGATTGATTCCAAATTTGTGGAGTCTGAATGAATAACACAGATTATTAGCATTTTCAACATCAGTTCAGGAGACAATTGAAAATGTTACTGCTTTAGACCCAGCTTACAAGTGGCCTGTGTGCCCGTCCGAGTTTTCCTGAAACAGGCCTGCTCTTAGGTTTTTCGTGAAAACCAGTGGTTTTGCTTCTCTAGATATCACATCAAGTTTGTGGATTTTTAGATACAGTTGGCACAACTTTTATAATTTGGCCGGTGTATCACTTTGTGCTAATGTACACTTTTCAAAGTCCATTCTTCTAGTAAGGCTAAGTACTCCTTGGGTACCGGGTGAGTTTCTTTTGGTTTAAACTCCAGATTTTCCCCCTTGGGATTGATGACACTCACTGTACATTTTCCTAGTGGATATTTAGTCATGGTTTATCCACTTTCACATGCTGGGGGAGGGTAGGCCTCCGGCAGTTGGGGTCATGCAATGCATGTCATCAGAATCCCATCACCAACAGAATCTGGGTTCTCACCCAAGATTGTCTGTTCCAATGCTCTGTTTCTGGTTTACACTAAAAAATGAGATATCTTAGTGAAAGAGCCATCTCTGTACTACCACATCCAGTTGTAAACACCTTTCTAAAGGCTCACCTCATTAGTTACTTTTCTCTGTGCGAAAGAGGTGCCTTTTAATTTAACAGTGAGAAGTAGCACAGGACAGCCAGTATAGCTCCTTGATTTCTTACCCAGACTTAGCTAAACTAGGGACACACAACGGTCTTCCTCGTTAGAGGAAAAATAGTAAATCATTTTGGCTGTCCTTTCTTTTATATGTAAATTTTTTTTTACTTACCTCCTGTTAGTAACTTGTTAAATTCTGTATTTTTTAAGAACTAGCTTATTTTGAGTTTTTTCCATTTATCAGTAGGAACCATTTCTTAATTTACCTTTTTTTTTTTTTGATAGTTGCCTTGTTCCTTTCATGTTAAAGCAGTAAAGTGATTTTCTGTTGCATCTTCTCTGATCCTTCTCTTTCCACTATTTGGTCTTTGGCTTATATAACTTAAATCATCAGATGCTTTGGTTCTCATTTGACTTCTTACTTCTGGAAAAAAAAAGTGTCATTTGTACAAATCATTTTGATCTGGTTTGAAGCCTTAGGTATGAGAAGAGTGGGGGAGCTATGGGCATTTTCTTCAGGCTAAGCCCAGTGGGTAAGTGGACTGAGGAGGCCTTTATGCATGATCGGGACCTTATTAAACTTCAGAAAACCTTGCTGGTACACATTCTAGTATAGAGGTCTCTGCTTTCCACTGCCCTTGGGAGTGTGTGTTGGGGGGAGTCTTGATGGACCTTCAAGAAAGGAAAAGGAAATCCAGAAAGGCTACGTTAGGGAGGGAAAAAGAGGCCCCTGACCAAAGGAAGGTGTGGCCCACAGGAAGGAAGCTCAGGGGTCTAGCCATGTAGCCCATTTGAATGGTGGGCAGGGGTCCACAGGGACACATTGGGAGCATGAGCCCTGACCTCACCAGGCACCTGTCTATCTGTAGTCAGTCCTTCCAGGACTTCCCCATGGAATGGCCCCCCTCCTCTGGCTGAGATCACTCCCAGAATGTCACTAGTAAGATAACACGGCCCTGGGAGGGGGGTGGAGGGCAACCTAAAATTAGCCCTATGGACCTAGTCAGCCCAGGGGCTGACGCCCAGCCTTTAGGCAGTGCTAACAGTGGGAACTGAGAGTCTCTCCTGCTCCAGCCTTGGGGCAGCAGGGGCTCCCCAAGGGCAAACCATCAGGGCCCAGTGCTTCATAGAGAGGTGGGGACAGTGGCGACCCTGGGCAATGCAGCCGCAGGCAGAAGCCTGGTGAGTACCTGCGGCCTAGGACCCCACAGTGCTGCCATGGAGTCAGTGAGCCTGCAGGCCCATGGGTTGTTCCCATTGCATGTGGTTTCTGGGGACACTTGGAAGGTCTGCAGGTAAACCTACCCTCAGAGGGAAAGAGGGATATGATGACAGCTTCCTACTGAGTCTGTCTAGGCTTTGGAGTCCAATGGACCTACTTCTTGAGACAAATGAACCTTATACAATTCAGAGACTGTTGAGATTTATCTTTATGTCCTTGTGTGGTATTTATGAGTGTGTGTGTGTTGGGGGGGTGCAACAGGGTGGTCTTAGGGCAGAAGGGCAGACAGAGCTCCTCAGGGTGTGGGAAAGGTGAGTGTAAGAAACATGCTACTAATGGCAGAGCCTGGGGACTCTTCCGGGGCCCGCAGAAACTAGCCACTCTCCACTAGGAGCTCTTAACCCAGATTCATAGACCCTTAAGAGGGCTTCAGACAGGCTTCCAAGGGTGCAAAAATATAGATGGGACCTTTTATTCCCCTCATCTGTAACTAGAAATTTACCATTTCTTGCAAGGATGAATGCAGGCAGCAAATGACGGCAGTATTACTAGTTTATGTAACTTGGTCACCAGAAGAAATAACAGACATTTCATATCATATTACAGTCATGGCAGATTTCTGGAATTGTCATTTATACTCATCATCAACATAGAAATTACTAGATCTTGTTATGTAATGTGTTAATAAGGAACATTTGTCACTATATCATACAATCTTTTAAGTATTTAATAGTTGTCTCTCAATATAACTTATTTGCTTTAAGCCTATGTATTTTTACCTTATTTTATTTAATTTTATTTTACGTATTAAGAATCATTCTTAAATGGGACTAAAGATTGCCATAGGGGCCAATGTCTCTTTTACACATACACACACACACATACACACACACACACACAACCCCAGCACTTTGAAAATGAGGAAGGGGATCCTTATATACACCATGGTTACATAATAACTATTGATTAGTAAACCGCAACAAGGTGATGTTAGACAAGTAGAGTGGATTTTCTTATCTAATAAGGCACAACCCACTAAGGTGCCCAAGCCAACTGGGGACCATGACTTGATTTCCCTCTGGAAGCTCATTAGATGGACCCTGCTGTGGGTTCCCGGTATGATCTTAGTGAGACCTCTGGCATTTTTCTGCACACCCCCTGCTTTCATCTCCCTGGACACAAGTCCTCCCTCACAAAAAAAAATATATATGAAGAAGGGAGTCCTTGCTTTCTGTCCGAAGAAATAATTTGTAAAGGAACCTTCCATGAATGAAGCCCATGGAATTCAGCGTGGCCCTCACAGCTGAGGATTCTGGGAGCTGCAGTATAAATGTGGAGACAAGGTGCAGGAGGGTTGTGTGTTCATTTGTTCAGGTTGCAGTAGAAAAATGGGATGGGGAATAGGGAAACATGGATAACATCATCACATTAAAAACAGTTACTGAGTACTCCATTCAGGTGCCATTCTAAACACCTAATGTGTATTAACTCAGTCTTAACAATCACCCTCTGAGGCAGGTACTACTATTATCTTCTCTGTACAGATGAAAAAATGGGCACAGAAAGATTAAGTGATCTGCCCTAGGTCACACAGCTACCAAGTGGTGGATCTGGGATTGAAGCAGAACACCAGAGCCCAATTTACCACTACCTCATATGGCCTTTCATTTTCACTGGAGCAAAACAGAGCCATATAGAAGCACTTAATATGGTGCAATGACTCCTATAGTGCTAGAAAAGCACAGACCCTGAAGGAACTAACCCGTCAGAAGAAAATGCATGTGACAGAAGAAGGTATATTCATGGAGGTTCATCATTTCTCTTATCGCTGAATCTTGGGGTGTAAGTACAGGTTTAGTAGAAAGTAAGGTTGGAGATGTTGGCCAAGATTTGTTCATGAAGGACCTCTGAGCCAGACTAAGACATCGGGGCTATACTCTGAAAGAAAGAGAAACCATTAAGGGATTTAAAACGTGATTAGCATGAATAAGGTTTGTGGTTGAATAATTTCAACCACAACGTGGAGAAAATATTGAAATGAGAAACAAGCTAGGAGACCACGATAGCAATTAAGGCAGAGGAGGATGGGGGCCTAGATAAAGCACTGGCAATGGGATGGACCTGAGGGCAGCAGCCTGTTATAGAGATCTTTGGGAAGTAAAATGCACAGGACTTGATCAATTGGGTGGATGGAAGTGGAACAAAGAGATAAAAGGACAGAGATGAGTTTTCGGTTTGGTTCACCAGGTGGATGCTAAGAAACTGAGTCATGGATCAAGTTTTGTGATACTGCAGCTGGTGGTGGTGTGATCTGCTGACTTTGAAGTGCCTGAACAAGCTCAGTGAATATATACTATTTTGCTAAAGAGAGAGCTGATAAATATGACAGCAACAGCTATGGGA